CTGGGCGGCGCTGCCTTCGGAGTGACCGCTGCGGAAGCCTCCAGCACGGTTGCTCCGAAGCCTTCTCCCCCCAGCTGGGCGGTGCTGCCTTTGGAGCGACCGTCGGGGAAGCCTCCAGCGTGGTCGCTCCGAAGCGACCGCTGGTCAGCTGGGGGGAAATGGGGCCTATGGGGAAAAATCGCAAAGCAATTTTCCCCCATAGGAAACATCACAATGCGGTCGCTTTTGCGATCGCAAAATCCGCATCGCTATGCGGATTCATCGTTAAACGGGGCACTCGTCATACAAGGCACCACTGTATTGCCAAATTATTAGCCCAGTTTTAAAAATTTTGTTGCTTGGGAGGGAGGAGGAGCTCATGTCCTTTGTCGCCTCAAGCCAAGGTGTGTAGCGCTTAAGAATGGTCAATTTATTTTGACACCCATGGTGACTGAGCACTAGCTACTTTGACGCCCTTTCATAATGAATAAAATTGGCTGTCTCACACTGTTCATTAGGAGGGCTGACTCTGGGACATAGCGTGACAAGTAGAGAGCCTCACAGTTCTACAGTAAATGACAGAGTAGTTCTGAAATGCAGACTAGCTTGTAAGTTTCTGCTATAAGCAACGATGTCATGACCAAAAAGGTGTGAACCATCTCTTTCCCTGAGTTAGTCACAGAGATTTCTGCATTAGTACAGTTTATCATGAGCAAGAAAGCAGGAAACTGCTGGATTTATAGAGATGCTAAGTAAGCTATAGTTTCAGGTCCAGGATTATGGACAACCCCCAAATAAAAACAAATGCCAGGTGAAATATATTAGCACAGTACACTTTTGTAATAACAGTATAGTGTTTGTTAATCTTGAGGTAGCAATGGGTCCCACCGTGTCATTACCCAATTCTGGACTACCAGAGGTGCTGATGCTATTCTTTGTGCCATTATAGATTTGAGGAAGTTACTGATGATCCAGGAAAGGAGCACTCTGCCAGATGGAAAACCTGTTGCAATATGTAGTTTCGTGTTGGGTAATAAGAAGTAGAACTGGGAGGATGTTGTAACTGGTAGAAAACTTTCCAAAACAGAACAACATCAGTGCAGTGTAAAGCTGTAAATTTGGCTCTGTTTAGAATGTTTTCTTAAAAGAAATGAGGAAATGATTTTTTCCTCATGGAGAATCTAAAAGTTAACGACATGACTTAAAGCAGTAATTTGAGCAAACAAAACTTTGTTCAAGCAGACAACCAAAGCGTACCCATAAGATTGAAACTGAAGCAAAGGAAGGAGTAAAAAATGCAAAGAACTATTACAATAATTTGAAAGATTTAGAACACTGCATGGGTACAATGTTTTAAGATAAATTAAATTACTAGAATGGATTACCATGCCTACCATTGCGAAAATGGACTGGTGTGGAAATGGTAATAAATGTGACAGATGAAGGGCCTAGCTTTCCTTGATTGTCAAACAACAATGACTTTTAAAATCTAATTTACACAGGTAATAATCTTTCTAAACTACCATCGTGTAGTATTATGAGGGTGAGCTACAGCGAGTCTCTGATTTGAGGAGCCCCGTTCTGTTCCGATGTGGCTGCAAAAAGACCAAGTTGTCACCTAGGCTTTAATTAGGCTCAAGCAGGTGTGTTAGCAGCCTGTGGGTCATTAAAGCAAATCATGTACTGGAACTGTGATGTGAATGTGGATTGTTTCTACAAGCTATCACAGTTTTGTGGGTTTAGAAAGACAGCACTTTATGAATAAACTAAAGTGAATTCAAGAACTCCCAGACTGGTTCTGTGAGACTTATTCTCCAGCTGCTAAATTGGAGATAGGACGCCTCTGACTTTTCAGACACAAGCCAAAATCCTGTGCTGAGTTGCATTAGAGTAGGCCCATTGTGAGTCAACTCCTCCATACATTCCATTGATTCAGATAGGCCTGCTCTAGTTGCAGTGCTGAAGTAAGCCACAACTAGAGTAGGTCCATTGAACCAAGGATCTTACAGAGGAGTGGCTCACCAGATCCTCAGTGATTCAGTGGGCCTACTCTATATTTATGCAAATAAAAGCAAAGCTAAGCGTGCTGCTTATATACCAGAGTGGTCGTTGGATATGAGTTTAACCACTGCGCCACTGATTTCAGCCAGTGGAGAACTAGTATGCCTGTAATCGGTGACCATGAGCCAGACTGACTGGTGCTGATGAGAACTGGAATCTGTTCCAGCAACATCTGCTAATTCCTCAGTATGGCTTGCATTGTATCCGCGCCAGTGCTAAAAGTGCTTAGGAGCAGATAGAAACAGAAATACAGTTTGTGTTGGCTGTGTATAGTATATGCATAGATACATTTTAATTGGCCCATTATTTTCTGAAACAAACATGGAAATGGAAGTCTAGTCATTTCCTGATTGCCTTGTATTTTGCCATTTAATTCTGAGATTTTTTTTTTTTTGTAGCTGAATCCAGGAAGTGAACTGTGAATTGGCTTCTTTGATAGGGTGTGTTCATGGATGTATCTAAATTGTTTTTGTACTGTAAATAGATAAAAGAAAAGGAAAGAATGAGCAAGTTTTTAGTCAAAATCCTATCTTACTTGCTAATAGTGCGTGTGGCTACATCATCTTTTTTCTTGGGTAGATAAAATGTTTCTCTGCTGTGCAGATACACAAGATAATTTGCAACAAAATAAAAATTAAATAGCAAAAAACTGCTTCCATGTTTTGGGAAGAAGTTTCTAAGTTTGGGGCTAATGAAAGTTCATGATAAAATGAATGCATCAAGCTTAAGCAGCACATTGATTAGAGATGGGATATTCATATTCAATTCCCAGGGGAGACAAATACAGATATTGCCAACCCATGCTGGGTTTAGATAATGCTGTGCCAAAGAAGCTGAGTATTTCCCCCTGAGCAGCTACTGTGTTTATGTGGAAAGGATTTGGTGTTGTTTTAAATGGAGACCAGGCATTACTAATACTTTAACTTGTATTTTCAGACTGACATGGGTCCAGAGAGTGCTTGTACATCTTGAATCAGTATATGGTTGAGCTAGTGCATATAAAGTGCTTCCCACATTTAGTGGCTAGTGTTTTGGAGATGCTACATCACGTCCCTATTGGGAATATAGAAAAATGCAAGCATGTTGCATTTTAAAATCATAACAGTTGGGGGAAAAATAACAATGAAGATTTATTGGAGATGCAGACTTCTGTTTCTCTCCTTAATGTCGGTCTTCCCCTCCCTAGCATATTTTAGGGAAATCAGTTTAAATACAGTAATATAAAATTTCTACTTCATGCCCTTATTTGGAAATTTCCACTCAGCATGTCTTGATAATACCCATAAGACATTAGCCTGTGGTCCTAAAATGTGGGAGCATGTCTTATTCCATTTAAAGGAGAGAAAGCAAGCACATGAATATTGTAACAACTGTGTCTTAGTTTCAGTGCAGTGAAATCATTGGGATTCTGCACAGCTGATCTTTTGAAGCTACTTTCTAATGGTTGGGCCTGGACCCTTGAGTAACTAGGGCACTGCGGATACATATTGTTCTAGTAGAACTCCTGCTCAACTCTCCTCCCACTGCTTGTTGCTGCCTCCTGGCACCTAGCATTTGAGGAGACCACCTCATCCCGCTTGCCTGTAGGACTATAGGAAGGAGACCTCCCCAACTTCTCAACTGAGGTACACAGCAGGAATGCAACAACATAGGTGTCAAATAGATGGAAAGCATTTTCTCTGTATGTGGCCCCTTTCCCCGCCTGTACAGCTGTTTTCAAAGATTGGTGGGAAAGATTCCTGCCTGAAATGACTTGCTGCCTAAACCCGTTTCCCTCAGCCTAATGCCATCTAGGTAACTTACATTACAGTGCCTGTTGTCTCCAGAGGTTGGCTAGCTTATCTACAGCTGATGTGAATAGGAACCCTAAAGCCGGGGGGTGTGTGTGTCCCTGGGTTGCATAAGGTCATCAACCCCTGTCTGCTGACAAATCATACTCCTGGGCCTTTCCTCTGAAAAGCCATGTCTAGCTTTGTGGGGTAGAACACTGGAACAAGGAGCATATGTTTGTGATCTACTGCTATCCTACTTTGAAACCGAATTTGTCTTCTAATCACTGTTTGTTGCTCTTCTTTCTTGGCCAGGTATCATGTCTTTGTGGTTCGGCGCCCTGTCTTTTGTGTGGCTGCTGCCCGTCTACAAAGAACTCCACCATCACGCGCCTGAGTTTCACCTTATTCCTCTTCTTGGGTACTTTGGTATCTATTATCATGATCATTCCAGGAGTGGAGGCAGAACTCCACAAGGTGAGCAGCAGGTGGCCTATGACCCACCTTCCCCAGGCACTGAGGCCCTGTGTTGGCTTTACTGGTTGGGGGTGGGCAAGGGTGCACCTCTGGTATTGCATGGACAGTCAGTACAGCGTTGTGCAAGCTGTTATTGATAGGAGGAAGAAAGTGCCCGAACAAAACACTGTAACTTTTTAATTGATTCTTGATTCCCCCCCCCCCCTGGTTCGGCAGGCTTCTGGTACAGTATAGGTTTGCTGTGTGACAGATTTGGAGATGTTTGGACAGCTACTTTTACAGTAGTAATTCTTGTTCTTATGAAAGAGGAAATTATTGTTCCTTATTCATAGTGAACTAATTTTTCTATTATTTTTTTGCAGCACAGAGACAGTTGCTTCCACCTATAAGCTTTGCTCTATTTGAAGTTGATCTGCCATATTGTTTAGAAGATGCATGATCTTAAAAATACTTGTTTTTCATAGGAAATTTTTCATGAACTCTGGCTGCACATGTTTATTGCAGTATTCCTTAGCAGCCAGTCCCTGAGAAAAATGAGTTTTATGAAGTTGAATAAGGCTTATTTTGGGCAAGACGGTAGATCAGGACTGCAAATGTATCACGTTAATAAATGTCACTGAACACAGAGGAAGTGAGAAGCCATAGGAGCGGGTGGGAGGAGATGCCACAGAGGAGGGGAAGAGAAAGTGATAGGAGAGAGAGAGAGAGAGAGAGAATGAATAGGGTGGGGGAGAGACAGGAGCCCTGAAGACAGAGAGGCCACAGAGAGGAAGGAAAGATGGACAAGGAATGTGTGTGTGAGGGAAAACCAATAAAGAAAGAGGGAGAAAAGCCACAGAGAAGGGATGAGTCACAAAAATATAGAGACTGGAGACAGACACACATATACATACTGGCTGGAATCCTGTTGCTTCATCTAGTAAGTTTTACTAGAGCAGGCCCATTGAATCAGTGGGGATTGAATAAGTCAACTTCTTCCTCGATTCAAATGAGCCTAATTTAGTTGCAACTTATTTTAGCATAGCAAGTTGTAACTGGAGTAAGCTTTTTAAAGTCATTTGAACTCGTGGAGGGGTTGACTTACCAAATCTCAGTGGTTTGCTCTAGTGTGGTTTACTACACTAAGCCACTGGATTTCAGCATTGGGAGAGGGGGAGATTTTTTAAAAAATAATTTCAAGTAGGGTATAATTATGATAAACTCATTGCTGAGATTTAGTTGGTCTATGCAACTTCACTGTTGGATTATTCAATTCCATGGCAAAGTGAGCTTAAACTGGGTTCAGAACACCAGTCATCCACGAAGCCAACTAGCTGACCACAGGCTGGAAATAATCTCTCGACTGAGTTTGCTTCTTGGAGCTTTTGTGAGGGAACAAAGAATGCCGCTTAGGCCACTTGGAGTTCATTTGAAGGAAAAGGTAGATGTAAAATACAAGGAATATGTAAGCTAAGGCAATTTTCATTTCTGTCTTTTTTTTTTTTTACCAGCTACCTGGGTTCTGTGATGGCAGCAGCACTGTTCTAGGCGTTGCAGGCAAAGTTAACTGCCAGTCGTTCTTGGGTCACAAATCCGTCTATCGCATGTGCTTTGCGACAGCTGCTTTCTTCTTCCTGTTTGGCTTGCTGATGATTTGCGTGAGGAACAGCAAGGATCCTAGAGCTGCGATACAGAATGGGTGAGCCTATTGTTAGTGCTGACCACCCTTTCTAGGGTGGCTTTGTATTTCACTGTATTCCACCAAAGAGTCAGACTGGGCTAGGAGGTGGGTGATCAGGCTTGCAGTTGGCATTCATAGGGAATAAATCCCACCGAACATTGTGAGTCTTGTATTTGAAGAACCAAGTACAGTGGTGCCTCGCTTTATGATTGCCCCGTTTAACGACGAAACCACTTTACGCTGAACTTTTTGCGATCGCAAAATGATGTTTTCTATGGGGGAATTTTGCTTTGTGATGATCAGTTCCCTGCTTCAGGAACCGATTCTTCACAAAACGACGATTTTCCAACAGCTGATTGGCAGCTTCAAAATGGCCACCGGGTGGCTATGGAGGATCTTTGCTGGACGGTGACTTTACAGCCCTTTGGAATGCATTAAATGGGTTTTTTTCTTTTCGCATTATGATGTTTTCATTCTACAGCGATTTCGCTGGAACGAATTAACGTCGTAATGCAGGCACCACTGTACAGGTTGCACTACCAAGTCTTCTCTCTGTATTGATTTCTATGTTTTTTACCAGCTACCTGGGTAAAACCCATTTCTAGGCATTGAGGGCAAAGTCAATTGCCTGGTTTTTGTGTGTCTTGTTTTACATGGTAAGTGGAACCACTTCTGGTTACTGTGTCTATTTCTAAATTTGTATGTTTTACTAGGTTAAGTATCTTGAAAACTTCAACAGCTTATTTTCTCGTCTCTCAAAATATATTTCCAGGGTCATATCTTTTACTTTTCAGTATAAGAATTTTAATGGGAGATTTTTTCCTGTTCAGGTTGCAAGTCACCTTTAGTGGCTCCAGTCAAAAAGCCAGATAGAAATTTAATAATACAATATAAACTTTTCATCTTTGAGCCAGGCCTCACTTGCACAAGAGAATTGGATCAATTCAAGTGTGTATTGTCAGTTTTTTTTTTAAGCACAGGAGAATAAATTGACTCCACTCTTCCCTGTGGGCATTAGACTAATGTTTATTCTGTACCCTGTTTTGGTACATTAGAGCTCATGGTTGTGTACAGTACTTCCAGGTTTGCAGGTGGCTTCCGTCCAGAATCAGGTCCAGTTTTTGAAGTGCAAATCTTTACAGCACAGCTTCCTGTATCTCACAGGGGCTCCAACAGATGCCTCTGGGAGTACACGAAACAACTGGATACCTGTCTCTGGATACCCCTCCCCTGCATCTGGCAGGGGAGGGTGTGCTGGTGGACAGCTTGATGAAAGTGTGCGGTGGCAGTGAAGAAGGCCAATTCCATGCTAGGTATTATGAAAAAAGGGACTGAAAATAAAACAGCCAATGTTATAATGGTATTATATAAAATGCTGGTAAGACTGCACCTTGAGTATTGCCTACAATTCTGGTTGTTGCACCTTAAAAAGACATTGTGGAACTGGAAAAAGTGCAGAAGAGAGCAACTAAAATGATAACTGGGCTGGGGCACCTCCCTTATGAGGAAAGGCTACAGCGTTTGGGGCTCTTTAGTCTACAGAAAAGACACCTGTGGGGGGGGGACATAACTAAGACATATAAAATTATGCAGGGGATGGATAAAGTGGATAGAGGGAAGCTCTTTTCCTTCTCACGCAATACCAGAACCAGGGGACATCCACTCCAGCTGAGTGTTGGGAGAGTGAGAACAGACCAAATAAAATATTTCTTGACCCAGCGTGTTGTTAGTCTGTGGAACTCCTTGCCACAGGATGTGGTGATGATGACTGGGCTTAAAAGGGGATTGGACAGATTCTTGGAGGAACAGTCCATCGCAGGTGACAAACCATGATGGGGATGTATAATCTCCAGGATTAAAAGGAAGGTACCTCAAAATGCCAGATGCAGGGGAGGGATAGACAGGTATCTAGTTGCCTCGTATGCTCCCAGAGGCATCTGGTAAGGCCACTGTGAGATACAGGAAGCTGGACTAGATGAGCCCTTGGCCTGATCCAGCAGGGCTCTTCTTATGTTCTTATGACAGTTATTCCACCATCCTTGCCTACCCCTACAAACAATTCTAACCTATCTTAAAAAAAATTAAAAATTGGTAAGAATACAGTTGATCGCTATGTACTAATGATCTCATGCACTTAGAAGAAAGACTGTTGGAGCTGTGAAAGCTTAGGTTAAAATATAGCAGTAATTGTAATTTTTGATTACCTGGACAAAGATTATTCAGTAGGAAACCTGCTTCTGAGATTGACTCTATGTATAAAGTCAGTTGAATGTATATGTTACGTGTGCACAAAGAGGAGAGAGTGCCTATATTTTCTTTCTAATGGCTGTTTCAGCTGGATCTAAGGGGCAGGCATGCGTTTCATCATAGTGAATTCTCTGAATGTATATGACTTGCACGATTACAGCCACATAGCTCTTTCCTTACTTGGATACTTCTAAGCTGGGCTTTTGACATGCCATTCACTGAGGTTTGTGAGGAGCCTAGAGGCCATTGTTTTCAGTATGGACTCTTCCCACATTTTCCTGTTCTTTCTTCCTTATTATTTTTTTTTTACTGAAGAAGATTCCTTAAGGGGAAAAAAGAAAAGTTCTGCAGTGTCCTTCCATTGTACAAAGCAGCAGTCCTCAATCTAGAAGCACCCTTAGTGGTGAAGCACTGCTTAGGAGGCTCCTCTCTGTGAGTCTAAAACGCCCTTTCTCTTTTCCATCAACTCCAGGTTTTGGTTCTTCAAGCTCCTGATATTCATTGGGATTACAGTGGGGGCCTTCTATATTCCTGATGGACCATTCACATCTGGTAAACAAAGCTTTGCATTTGTGTGTAATAAATGCAGTTGGGTTGGGATGTAACGTTGTGTCTGTCTATATGCCTTTGTCTTGAAGCCAAGGGTACACTCCCTCCAATGTCTACTGGTCAGTGTAGTCACTGATGAGGGATGCTGGGATTTGCAGTCCAACAACATCTAGAGAATCATCATTTGCTTACTCCTGATATTGTGGGCAAGGTAGAAAACATAGACTTTTCCTTCAGGTACAGTAAAGCACTCATTTCACATTCTAGCAATGTTATCCTCAAAATCCTACAAGGTAGGCTTCAACAGTATGTGGACCGAGAACTCCCAGAAGCACAAGCTGGATTTCGAAGGGGCAGAGGAACTAGAGACCAAATTGCTAACGTGCGCTGGATTATGGAGAAAGCCAGAGAGTTCCAGAAAAACATCTCCTTCTGCTTCATTGACTACACACAAGCCTTTGACTGTGTGGACCACAGCAAACTATGGCAAATCCTTAAAGAAATGAGAAATCTGTATGTAGGACAGGAAGCAACAGTTAAAACTGGATATGGAACAAATGATTGGTTCAAAATTGGGAAAGGAGTATGACAAGCCTGCATATTGTCTCCCTGCTTATTTAAATTATATGCAGAATACATCATGTGAAAGGCTGGACTGGAGGAATCCCAAACCAGAATTAAGATTGCTGGAAGAAATATCAACAACCTCCGATATGCAGATGATACCACTCTGATGGCAGAAAGTGAGGAGGAATTAAAGAACTTCTTCAAGAGGGTGAAAGAGGAACACAAAAAATGGTCTGAAGCTCAACATCAAAAAAACTAAGATCATGGCCACTGGTCCCATCACCTGCTGGCAAATAGAAGGGGAAGATTTGGAGGCGGTGACAGATTTTACTTTCTTGGGCTCCATGATCACTGTAGATGGTGACAGCAGCCACGAAATTAAAAGACGCCTGCTTCTTGGGAAGAAAGTGACAGCATCTTAAAAAGCAGAGACATCACCTTGCCGACAAAGGTCTGCATAGTCAAAGCTATGGTTTTTCCAGTAGCGATGTATGGAAGTGAGAGCTGGACCATAAAGAAGGCAGACTGCTGAAGAATTGATGCTTTTGAATTGTGGTGCTGGAAGAGGCTCTTGGGGGTCTCCTGGACTGCAAGGAGAACAAGCCTATCCATTCTAAAGGAAACCAACCCTGAGTGCTCACTGGAAGGACAGATCCTGAAGCTGAGGCTCCAGTACTTTGGCCATCTCATGAGAAGAGAAGACTCCCTGGAAAAGACGCTGATGTTGGGAAAGTCTGAAGGCAAGAGGAGAAGGGGACAACAGAGGACGAGATGGTTGGACAGTGTTGTCAAAGCAACCAACATGAATTTAACCCAACTCCAGGAGGCAGTGGAAAACAGGAGGGCCTGGGGTGCTCTGGTCCATGGGGTCATGAAGAGTCGGACACGACTTAATGACTAAACAACAACAACATAGTAAAGCACTCCCTCCAGTCCTCTGTTCATTTTAAGCCTTTAGCTACAGTCTTGTCTTATTACCATGCTAAGTATCCTGCCTCACTAGGACAGCACTGATGAGTCCAAGTTGAGGTGAATCAGAACTTTCAATCAAGGAGGACGACAAGATTAAATGTTGTTTCAGCAGCTTTATATCTGGTTGCTCCATTCTCTTCTGACCTGTCATGAGGGCCTTGATCCATAGTATTTGAAAAAGGAGCCATCTTTCTCAGGAGTAGAGGGCAGAAGTGTTAAGAGATAATACTTCCACTTCTAGCTGTAGGTTTCCATAGAGTTGATTTCCTTCTGGGTAGTTCTGATGCAAAGGAATGAAACATGATTTCCTTCTGGAGGTGAACTGGGTAGTTCTGATGCAAAGGAATGAAACTTGTCATGGTATGAGTTCCTTCATATCTCTACAAGTGGTGTATCTTTTCAAGTCTCTGAAGGATGTTAAGTCCTCACTGACTTGCCTGGGACCCTGTCAGTGCTGGGGCCACTAATAGGGATGTTCTGCTTTTTTTTAATGTCACCTAACAGTTTGAGAATAAGAAGTGGAGTGGGACACAACAGTCCTACCAAATGAAAAAGAAAAAAAATTCCAAGTATATGAGCCAGTGTATTCTTAAAATTGTCCTTGATAATGATAATATCAAGATGCTGCTTTGTGCAGTGCCTCAAATTATACACTGTACTAGTATGTGCTGTCACTCTTTCCTTGTGAGTAGTGAAAAGCAAAGGTTGGGCCTGCTTCCTTTTTGAGTTTGGCTTGAACTCTTGTCAGTTAGCGAAGAGTGAGGTAAGCTGAGGCGGTTTATTCAGGGATGTGGAGACTTAAGACTTGCTCTACCAGTTCAGACCGGTCCTTTGCTCCTTCTCTTGTAGACACCTACTTTTGAGTAAAATCTTTACTATGTTGTTGTTTTTTCAGTTCAGACTTGTATGTATGCATGCATTCCTGGCTTTGTAGATCAGCTATGTGAATTTACATGCTGGTTTAGTTAGACACAGAAGCACATATGTGTGAAGAGCTCGACAATCTAGTGTATGAAACTAGTGTGGAAACTGATCTTTGTTCATGCTGGCTCATGTTGGTCACTGCTTCTTTTTGGGATGCCCACCTGACAGTGGCTATTAGACTGAGAGTAAAATATCCACATTGGTTATACTAACAGTGAATGCTGGTCACCAAGTGAATAAGTGAAGATGATCACATGGAGAGAAATTGGTTGGTTACAGATGTGTTTGGGTTCACTTGGGACTTCTGGCTTTGCCAGCTGAGCTTAGAGGTACTAATAGGAGGACAGTCAAGGCCATTGTAAGCTGTTTTGCTGCCTAAGGTGACGGACAGGCTGAAGCCACTGTTTCCATTCTGGATACAAAATCAAACAATCAGTTTGTCTAGCAGTTGAATCTTGAGTGCAACACTGCCCATGGAACAATACTCTGCACCACAACACACCCAGCTTAGGAAGGAGACAAGGATGTTTACATGGCCTGCACAGCTAGGAAACAAATGCCCTAGGCCTATAGGACTTGTTTTGCGTGCAAAAAGTCTCAGTTTCAACCTCGCCTTCTCCTAGGGCTAGACTGTGTCTTGCCTGAATGCCTGGGGAGCTGGCGGCCAGAGTAGATCACACTGAACTCAAAAGACAAACTTCTATGTTCCTGTTGATTTTCCTCCCATAACACCTCACTGTAGTTGGTTCCCCAATGTTTGTTGCCTGAGGCAGCTGCCTCACTTTGTCTAAGGTTGGTTCCCCAACGTCTGTTGCTTGAGGCAGCTGCCTCACTTTGTCTAATGATAGAATTGGGGATTTCTACCTGTTGAGGATTGAAACTTTTTTTATGATACATTGTGCAGAACACCTTGGTGGGCGGGGTTTGAATTAGATTCTTGAGATGATTCATAGCTCTAGTCACTTCACTGTGCTGGATCAAATCACTCAATAGCCCAGAAGGAAGTAGTGGAGTGATTAGAGTTCTGGACTGGATCCAGGTCCTCACTGGCCAGTGAAATTCACTTTTCCAGGCCTCCTTCCCGTGCTCATTGTGGGAATAAAATGGAGAGTAATAGAACTGTGTACACTCCGCTGAGATCATTGGAAGGGAGGTGGGCTACAGATAAAACATGTACTAAAAGCACCTCTAAATGAGGGCTTTATAAAAGATCCTACCATACACAGAAGAGGTAATTTTATTTCATGTCATTGATTGTGGTTGATGTCTTATGGAACCTTTCAAGCTTCCCCTTTTTCTTCCCCTGTCAATTAGTTTGGTTCTACTTCGGTGTGGTTGGCTCCTTCCTGTTCATCCTCATCCAGCTCATCCTCTTGATCGACTTTGCCCACTCCTGGAATCAAATCTGGCTACGCAATGCGGATGAAGGCAATACCAAGTGCTGGTATGCAGGTCTGTATAGAAAAAAAACAGTGACAAAAGGTTGTTGCCTTCTTGTTGCTTTCATGCAGGTGCCAGAAAAAAAAAATCAGTCACTCCAGTTCTCCCAGGAATCAGAGAACTATAAATGTTGGCATTTGTAACTATGTACTTCAGAGGGCAGGAGTCAGAACTCTGTCTGCGCTCTGGTGGAGTTTGTGAGATAGTTGAGTATTTATTGCTGCAGGATCAGCTTTTTGTCCTATTCAGGAGATTGGGTGATTATGGTGATCAGTGTTTTTTTGTTGTTGTCGTTGTGCTTGTATTGTTGTGATAAGGGGGAGAGATGTTATGTTATGTGCTGTCAAGTCAAACCTGACATATATTGACCCTAATAGGGTTTTCAAGATACAGTGAGATGTTTAAGGAGTAGTTTTACAAGTTCTATTCCCCACCAATGAGTTTCCATGGCAGAGCTGAGGATTTGAACCAGGTTTCCCTGAGTGTTACTGTATCCACTACACACCACACTGAGTACCTGATGTGCACCTACACTTCCAAATTTATTGTGA